CCAAGAAGCGCAGAATGGATTTCAAAGTCCGAGTTCGTCACATCCTCCCGGTAAAGTATGTAAATTTTAAGGCTTTTCCGGCATCGTCTTTTGATTTTCCTGCTTTGCTCAAATATCAGAGGATCGATAAATTTGTGTCAGATTCTGGAAATTGCTATCCGGATCTTGTCAAATCCTTTTTGCATAAGCTGTCTGTATTTATGAATGCAAATGATGAGCATGTTATGAAAACAATTGTTAGAGACTGCATTGTGGAAGAAAATCTGTCTGATGTTGCTGCTATGCTGAAAATACCATCGTCTGGATACTTTCTGAGAAAAGGAATTAACCACGTGGAAGGGCCGTGGTCCAACTACGACAAGATGGAGTTCTACTATCATATCTGCAGATTTCCAAAGGAGGTGATTATCGCCAACCAACACACTGCTCGTCTGTTGTGATATGCAAAGAATCTTACCGTTTCTGATCGGATGCTTCATTACGTAATCTGTTATGTGCTGATTCCCAAGGATTCAAATCATGCCCAAATTAACGATTTGGAAATGCAACTTCTTTTTGCCATCAAGAACAAGATTCGTGTCAACTGGATTTTGACCATTATGTATCACCTTTAACAACAGCTATCTCTTTCAACCCGTCTACCGTATGCAAGGCTGGTGTCAAGAATTTTGGAGCTGACAACTTTGGATCTTAACCGTGAACCAACCACCAAGATGAAATCAACCACCAATGAGATTAACGAAATTACAATTGTCAAGAACACCAGAATTTTTAAGGATACTGACGGTACGTATAAGTATTCAGATGAAGGAGCCACTGCCAACCAAGCCTATCCCGTACCTGAAGGAGGCATTACAAATGAATTCCTTTACCAAACTATGATGACTCAACATAGAGAAACCACCCGGGCCATTGCTTCTCTCCAAAACCTTGTGCTTACCTCTCGCCGCACCAACACCGACAACTTTGTTGTATCTGATGAAGAAAATGAAGGACAAGAGGAAGAAGAGGAGGAGGATATGGCTGATGAGGACATTTAGAGAATATGCCGATGTTGCTGTCTTATTGCTTTCTAGTCATTAAGTTTTTAAATTTATGTTCTTAACTTTGTTTCATTTGCGTTGTACTCATACACTATTTTGGTTGCACTCTGCTGCATGTTTAATTTTATTTAAGTATGTTTTGCTTACCTACTTGATTATTCTTTTGATTGCTTTTATAATTGTTGATATTTTCTAGTTTTGTTTGAAAGCTCCTTCCTTTTTGCTGATGACAAAGGGGGAGAAGAGCTTTGGCTTTCTAATGTCTATGTGTGCAGAATTTTTGTCTGTTTTTTAGCCTCTGTTTTTAGAAAGGGGGAGTTCATGGACATAGGGGGAGAAACAAGACCAGGACCAAAATTCGTCAACATATTGCACAAGACTCAATCGGTTGCCATCATCAAAAAGGGGGAGATTGTAGAAGCATGCTTCATCTCAAGGATTCAAGGTTTTGATGATGACAACAACAAGACTCTATCTCATTTCATCTGTGCAAAAAGTCAAAAGCTTTCAAAAGACCAAGATCAAAGTATTATGGAAGTGATCAACATTCAAGCTTCATGTACATTTGCTCGATCATCTTTCAAGACTTGGACACAAGCTATGGTATATCAAAATTCTCTAATTTAATTGATATACAAGTGTTCAAATCATTTATCATTTGATCATAATGCATGAACATGTTTTTGAAACAATTGGAATTGGTGTAACATTGTTTTAATAAGTACTTTTCTGAAAAATAACACTGTTAACCGATTAACCATATGGGTTAACAGGTTAACCATTTCAAAACTTAAATTTTCTGGCCTAACGTTCCAGTGTTAACCGATTAACCATATAGGTTAACCGATTAACACTGAACGTTTTCTGAAAAATTGCTTTGTTTTGAATTCAAATGTTGTGTGATTGTTATACCATTTCATCTTTTGAATTATACTTTAACATACCCTTTTGAAATGGTGTTTTGGCCCATATAAATTCTGATAATTTCAAATCAACAAAACACCTCTAACAATTTTCAAAAACAATCATTGAATCATATTCACTACTTTTCAAATAATTTCAAATACATTCAAAAAGTGTTCATACTTGCATAACCTTTCACATCCATTTGTTTGAACACTTGTATTGAGATTAAGTTGTGAATTATGATTAACGGAGAAGATCAATCTTTGTATTAATATTACTATTACTTTCAAAATTATAAAAAGAATTACAGAATAGTCTGTTGTGACTTGTGATCCAGGATTGTTGGACATAAGGGTTAGTGTTTTGCAAGAGGATTGTTCTTGCACACTAGTTTGTTTTTGTTGTTAGATTGTAGGCCTCACCGGTTGATGGTGTGATAGGTTGTACTTTCTAAAACAATAGTGAAAACTCTCTTTCATGTGGAAAGGGGAGTGGAGTACCTTCGGATTGTGAAGGGAACCACTATAAATCTTGGTGTCCACTTTCTTTATGCTTTCTACTGCATCCATCACCAAGAACATAACCAAAGAAAAATTAAAGAACATCAAAAATCTGAAAAAGTCTCCATAAGCCTAATTCACCCCCCCCCCCTCTTAGGCATACTCTGAACTAACAGTAACTGGGATGATTACCTGTGATTCATAGATGTGGCACTTTTCTTCTGACAAAGGTTTGCGAACAAACTGCTGATTCTTCACTACTTTAGGACCGCTCAAGTTAGCAAAAGGTGGGAGAGCTAATGCAGAAGATTGCCCTTTGAGGTGTGTCTTCTTCTTCTGATGATCGGTCATTGTTGAAATTAGCAAAGGAATTTTTAAGAAGAAAAAAAATTTGGGGAAGAAAAACGCAAGAATTTTGCTAAGAGTTGAAAATGTTGGGAAAAATGATAATACTTGAGGAAAATCATTTATATATAGTATGGAAGACCAAGAGTTTCATCATTAAGTGGATAGAGTTAGTGGGCCACGTGTGCGCCTGAAATGGAGTGACAGGGATAGCAGTTGCAACTTACATCCCCTTGGCTTTAAAGGTGATGATGGTTCACGATTTTGGTAGTTCCCGAGAAAATCGCCATGATGACCATGACGTCAGGAACGTGCCTCAAGGTGGCAGAGCAGCTTCTTGCGTGCTCTTTTCTATTTTCTTTTTTCTCTTTCTTCCCTTTTCGCATTCCCAGACATTCATTTGGCTGACACGTGTGAGGAAAGTAAACGGCGTCGAAATCCGATGCTGTCAAAAAATGTGCTTTTCCACATAAGGGATCGAAAAGATATTTTTTTGGGGGCAATTTGTTAGCTCCTATATTCGATGCCTCTTGCAAAATAAAGAAATCTAAGGAGAAGCACTAAAAGCTGGTTGGAGGCGAGAGTTGGTCGAAGGATGTGAGACAGCTAAGGGGAGTAGTCGAAGCACTTACCAGACTTGAAGAAAAACCACAAGGGCTTCGACCGTTTCACTGTTTGGTGGTTTTACTGAAGATTTGAAATTCAAATAACTTGGAGGGAACAATTTCGTTCGCTAGATGACTAAGAGGACACATGGCGCCTTATGAACAACGGATCCATGCATCGTGACAAGTGGCGAAAGATGGTGATGTGTGAAGTTATTAGTAGTTATTTCTTGCTATTATAAATAGGAAGTGTTAGACATAGAATGTGTGTGGAAATTTTACTATTGTACAAGTCACTCTTAGACTTACTCCAAGTATCCGAGTGCAGAGAAAGAGAGTATTGAAGAGAATGTACGTGATGTAAACACACCACCCTTTTATTTTTTTTAATGAAGTCTATTTTACTTGTTTAAATTTTACAAAGTCTTCTTTATCTTTCTTGCAACCTTCTCCCCTTTCTATTCCCTTTTTTACTTCGTCCTCATTCTCAACTTCTTTCTTTTAAAACTTGTATCTTTTCTTTGCTAGAACTTTATGTGTTTTTCTCCTAGAGTCGAATAGATAACTTTTAAGAACCTTCTCCCCAAATATTGTCAAAAAATGCAAAACTTAGATAAATGTTCAAGGAAAACCTTTTAGCACATGCCCTAGGATCAATCCGATCGATCTTGTGAGTCACCAAAGTTAGATTTAGAAGATCAGCGGTTGTTTTCTAATTTTCAAGGAAAACAGTGACCCGAGTCAAATTAGCTAAACCCCAAGATAAACACAAAATGTACACTAATTTGATAACTCTACTGATGCTAGACCGGTAAGAGGCACATTGTTTATTTGAGCGGAATTAGTATGAAGAATTTGTCTCACAATATAATGATTTTTATTTTATATAAGGTCTCGTATGCTCTAAGTCATCTATAACAAATTTATTTGTCATTATGGTGCATGTCTCCATGTCTAGATAGGGACAATAAATGGGCATCAAGCCCTTTATTTTTTTTGTCTAAGACTAACAATTTATGAACGTTAATGCTCTTAAAGTTATGTTCTTGTATTGAAGTGTATCCAATATCAATTTGATGTGCTTGCCTTGAGATGGCATGTTCACTTTAGCCCATTTAAGTTAATATCAATTCATGCTAGATTACATATCCGACCAATTATTTCATATTTGAGTTTGTACCCGACCTAGACCTAAAGAGACTAGAATGTACATAATCTTTCGACCATGATGCTCAAAGGAACAAAGTGATATGAAAAAATACAATTAAAAAAATCGTATCAAACTGTAAATATGTTATTATATTGACATGAGTTATCAACAAATATTTTCAATTAATAAGAATAATAAGTTTAAAAAAAATCGGTTCTTTCTTTTTTGAAAAATATAAAATAAAAATAGTAATAGAAAACAAAAGAACCCAAGGAGGACGCGCATATTTATAGTGTAACAAACTGATGCATAGCCTTCCAACCAAGACATATCTATCCTCCTCACCAACCACTCCCTTCCATACTCAAACACTCACTCCCCCTCTTCCTGCAAACTCACCATCCTGCCGGCGATTTCCCGATCGTCTCCGGCGACTTCACATGGCGAACCAATGAATGAAGAGCCATTACCGGCAATCCTCATGCCTCTCTCTCGTGTCTCCGACTGTGACCTCCTATGCGGAGAGGACACATCCGAAATCCTCACCGGAGATTCGACGGAATACTCCTCCGATCTCGGTTCATCGTCGCCGTCGCCGTCATTATTCGCGGAAGAGGAAGAGGCCATTTCCATTTTCATGGAACAGGAGCGTAAGTTCGTCCCTGGATTCGATTACCTCTCAAGATTCCAATCTCGTTCTCTAGATGCCAACGCCAGAGAAGAATCCGTTGCATGGATTCTCAAGGTAAACCAAACTAATATCACCATAACCCTCTGTTTCACTCATATTACATTAATGCCACTCACCGCACTGGTCCTTCACGATAAAATGCATCACGTGCGCTGCTGTAAGCGTTTTTTCTTATCGGAGTTCTACATCTTATCATCACCGGTTCACAGCATCGATAATTATTATTATTATTATTATTATTATTATTATTATTATTATTATTATTATTATTATTATTATTATTATTATTATTATTATTATTATTATTATTTCACTTCATGTGAATGGGATGGTTTACAGGTACATGCGTACTATGGTTTTCAGCCGTTGACGGGGTATCTTTCGGTTAACTATATGGATCGGTTTTTGGATTCTCGAACTTTACCGGTGAGCTCTCGTCTAGTGATTGATTGTTGCAGTGTGAATCACAGTACATCTTTGATATCTTTCGATTTGTCGCAACTGTTTTCGTGGTCGTTTTTATCACTACTACTATTGATTTCAAAACGGCTAGAGAAATTATGCAAAGAAATGTTTCAAATGCGGTGTTGACTTTTCAAACTTTGAAAGTCTATAACTGTTTACAGCAATAAATTTTCACCACTCATTTTGTGTTCTTGGTTCTAGTTTTTTTTGTAGGCATTGGTAGAAAATGAGGTTATGATGAGTGTTGAAAATTTAAGGACGTTCCATATATCATTGTTATGCGACTTTGACATATTCGAGAAAATGATAGTCTCGGTGTGTTTGTTGACATTTCCAACACGAGGCGCTTTAAAAGGAATGCTAAATATGATTAAGAATGTGATGTTGAAAAAAGTTAGATGTTGAGTTATGCCAAATTATTTCAACTTATAACGCGTGTATCCCAATTTCAGAAAAATTCTTATTTAAACTATTTATTAAAAATTTAATACTAGTATATTTTTATGGAAAAAGTGTACAAGTATTTTTTTATACTGCAAATATACTGTATAAATATACAAATACCATGAGTGTATTTTGCAATATATCCTGGGAGTATGACAGCTAGAAGAAGCTGCTAGTGTGTCCCTCTTTTCCACATGCATTCACGTGAGTTTATTTGTGCCATAAAGTTTTAAAAGAATTAGTGGGTTTCTACTATTAAGTGAACACTTATTACCATGTTAACAGGAATCAAATGGATGGCCTCTGCAACTTTTATCAGTTGCATGTTTGTCTTTAGCAGCAAAGATGGAGGAACCCCTAGTTCCTTCTCTCTTGGACCTTCAGGTATAAACTAATTAATAATAAGAACCCCATGTTCATTTGGCATGTCAATGCATGTAGTGATGATATTAGTAAGTTGTTTGTAATGTTGGATATTATTTAAACAAACTGCAGGTAGAAGGTGCTAAATACATATTTCAACCGCAAACGATTTTAAGAATGGAGCTTCTTGTTCTAACTGTGTTGGATTGGAGGCTAAGATCAGTCACCCCACTCAGCTTTCTGAGTTTCTTTGCGTGCAAACTAGATTCAACTGGAGCATTCACCGACTTCCTCATTTCACGTGCTACAGAAATCATCTTATCTAATATCCAAGGTATTTATTCCCTTTTACCCTTTCAAAATGTAGTTAAGAAAATAGTTTTGTTTTGTTACTCCAAGAACCTTGATATTGTGGTTATAATGTGGTCGGAATTATGATAGGGGTGATCTCTTTTTTGCGTCGTGTCAACTTTAATGAGTTTCCTAATTGAATTCTTTCTCTGGTCTATTATAAGAGAAAGTTTATTTTTTTTGTCTCTTCTTTAGATTTATTGAATAATCACTATATTGTGAGTTTTCAATGTTAACGAGTTTTCTGTTTGAATATTTTGTCTGCAGAAGCTGGCTTTCTTGCCTACAGGCCATCATGCATTGCTGCAGCTGCAATACTCTCTGCAGCTAATGAAATTCCTAATTGGTCTTTTGTTAAGCCTGAACATGCTGAGTCATGGTGTGAGGGCCTAAGAAAAGTAAGTATACATAATTATGATCCAAAATAGAAAATTATGAGTTTATTATATTTTTACCAAAACACAGTATATCTGTTTGTTACAGGAAAAAATTATAGGGTGCTATGAATTGATGCAAGAAATTGTGATAAGCAATAACCCAAGAAATCCACCTAAAGTGTTGCCACAGCTGCGAGTTACAACTCGAACCCGAAAGTGGTCCAATGTCTCATCATCATCTCCATCTTCCTCCTCTTCACCCTCTTTCTCATTATCTTATAAAAAAAGTAAACTAGATAGTAACTGCTTCTGGGTAGATGATGACAAAGGAAACTCTGAGTGAAGAGAAAAAAAAACAAAAAAATAAATAAAGGAACAAGAGGAAATAAGGCTGGCCAGTCTGTCCCGAAACCTTTTTGCAATGATAATTTGACAATATAGTGTATGTATGAGAGTTTGATGGGTTTGGAGAGTACTGGTATTTAATTAGTATTTTTTTTAAAATTTTTTTTTTTTTTTAAATTTTTTTTTTAATGTTTTGAGGGTATGTATCCCATTCAATGGGTTTGCAGGGATTCCCTAGGGAAGGTTGATATTGGAACACACATTTATTGCTACATGAAAAATAGTGTGTGACAGTTGAGAAAATAGAGATAGATGAATTCCATGTTGGGGATAGGAATTCAAAGGTTACATTGATGATAGGCGAATGAGATGAAAGATGGTGGGTCAGTGCTCTAGAAACATGGAAGAAAAAAAGCAGAACATGCATCAAATGGGGGATGAAAACTCTGAAAAATTTAGCTGTTTTTGACTTGTTATGGGAAGAGATTTATGAGTGAAGTTTCTTTTCTTGGCGCCATTCACTTTCCTTTGAATAGGTACTCTCAAGTCTCAACAATACTGCAAAACATCTACATTTCTATGGACTTTTCCTATGGTACGTGTGAAGATGGATTGTGCACGTGCCAATCACTAGTTTTTGTGTGATTCTTTTACTTCTCTTTTTTGGCCACAAGGTTTGGCCTAACTATACAAGACTCCATTATTTGGCGTTTAACGCGTGTGATGGGAAACACGTGTATATAGTTTTTTTATATTTTAATTTTTTTATTGGTTTTCAAAAAAGAGATGAACTCTCTTTACATAGTGGCCTAATTGGCTTTGAAAATGGAGAGGTGAAAAGGTCTTTGGGGCCTGATCCTTGTGCATTGTGTATTCAATTCAATAATAATATCACCATGGATTTGAATATTTGATACATTTCTTAAAAATTTCAAATTTTGTTTTCTCATTCTTAAATAAATCATGTGGTTTCATGGGCTCACCGACCCCAATGTATAGTTTGGAAGTTATATATGATAAGATAACATCCATATGTATCTCAAAATGTACAATTTGAATTATTTGCTCTACTTGCATCCCACTGAAAAATCACTTGTATATTATTGGGTCTTGCTAGCTTTAGCACATGATTCTGAATTAAGTACTTTGTAGTTTTGCCATTTGTTCTTATTAATGACTCAAAAGTAACTATAAGACACTTATGGAATCTAGTGAGGCAAAATTTTGAAGTTGGTTAACTATTTGATCCCACTATCCATAAGGTTCCTTGTCATTTTATCAAGTATTTGCATATTCTTGCATTCATTCACTCCGATCTGGATTTTCTATCTAATGGTATCTTTTTATTTCTCATTGCATTTGAGTGGTGATGCAACGACTTTAGTTTTTGATACTGTACTTAAGCCATAAAACATGTTGCTTATGAGCAATAATTTAGTATTTACATTTACATTATTTTGTAATTGATTTTTATTATTGAGATTCAAAAAAGTTTAATGTTAATTGTTAATTGCTTAATACATTTCTCTCCTTTAACCTTAACTCACCGGCTGGCTATGCATAACTTTGCTATGCGAGATTATTTTTTACAAGGAAATGATGATTAACTATGAAGTGGAAGATATCAAGTAACTAAAGAGCTGGCTTATACACCAGTAGGAAGAAGACTATTAAAGAGTTTTTTTTATTTTTTATTTTTTTTTAAAAATTTTTTTATTGTAGTACTCTAGTTCTGAAAATTATATACTAAAATATTTTATTTTGAAATTTTTTTTTCCAGATGTCCTAATTGTAGGACGTGCTCGTCAAATAAATTGGCGAGTAGAGGAAGAATTTTCATGCATTGTGCTCACCCAATGAAGTGGCGAGCACCATATTATTATTATTATTTTGTTTTTTCAGACTTTTTTATTATATAAATAGTTTTAATAATAATTTTAATTATTAAAAATATATTTTATTAATTTAATAATATTTTACTAATTAAAAATAAAATTTTATTCAATATTATAATTAAATGTAATAAATAATATATTTAAAAACATAATTTATTCAAACAAAATTAAGTGTAATAAATATTTTTTATTGATAATTGACAAATAAAATACATATCATAAAAAATGACCGCCAGTTCCACACGTAGTGCTTTTTTTTAGTCAATGTCCCCTGCCCAACTATTCATCTGCATTTTTTGGAGGTGATGGAGATGAATCGGCATACATACCTTGATCGTGATGTGTTGTAGGGGGTCCACTTGTCTTGTAGGTTGCTCCGCAAAAAGGACTTCAAAGTTAAAATCTGGCATATGCATTAGTTGTTCCTCCGTCAACAAAAAATGTTGGAATGAATGTGATGGCTGTGATGGTTGTGTGTAGGTATCAAGTTGGGTATGTTGGAGGGTTGGGTAATAAACATCATCAGTCGTGAAGGTAGAGGTGAGTTGAGGGAATGAAGTGTTGAAAGTTTGTTATTGAAATTTGGGGTTTGATTGATCAAAGTTTAGAGGAGGAACTTGAGTGAACTATAAGGATGGCCGGAGGATGGAATGATGTTGATATTGTTGGTTGTAGTTGTATTGGTAATTTTGTTGAGGGAGTGGAGTGTGGGGAGTTTGGTGTTGGGATGAGGTTGCATATAAGGTGTGTTGTTCGGTGGTCTGTGTGCGATGGCATGTATGTTGAGCAGATGAAGATGCGTGTCCCCTAAATTGGGATGTGTACATTGGTGGCACATCCTGATGTATTGGTGCAGCAGTTGGTTGTGTTGAAAAGGAACCACGTATACGAGGGTCGTTCAAAAATTGGTGTGGAGCAATATGCACATAAGGAATATCATGAAATCAATTTAAATACTTTGGCTTGCGTTCACCAACTACCGCAACCCCTGCAAAACCAAATATCTTCTATGTTTTCGTTCTTTCACCTCGTCTTTGTTTATATCTTGTCAATGAACTTTTTGGGTTTTTTTCATAGTCATTTCGTGGTGTTCCTTAGACACCTTGGTTGGGAAGGGATTTCTTGTTCAAACCCGAACTGGAGTTTGACCCTATCTGTCTGATGCATTTTAACAGTATAGAAATAGATAAGAGAAGTCGTAGCACTCCAGATTTAACTATCTCTAAGATTGGGCACCAAGAATTGAATGTACGACCTCCATATAAACTGTCACAAAAAAGGGTTAGAATACAATTAAGAAGTATATAAAACATGAAGGTTCTTTGGTTTCAAACTCACGTCTCTTTCTTGCATATGATCCAGTGCGACTTGATACCCTTGTAGATGGAAACGAGGATTATTATCGTAATTCATACCTCGTTGGGTCCATCTTGCAGAAACAAAAAAATGTATAAATGTTAGGTATAGTTGATTAAGATAATAAAGTGAATTTATATATTAGAAATACCTTTGAGCGTATGGAAATGACGACTGCAATGTACTAATAGGAGCAAACAAGGGTATACGCGTGAATGCCTAAGTAGTGAGTAGTATAACACAACCAGTCATGCTCCTGACATCTTTGACCGTGACCTTACACATATTTCTGTACAGTGTTATAAGACAAATAGAACCCCAACTAAAGGTGTTGCATTTTTCTAGATCCCCAACCAAAGGAATCCAAGGAGAATGCAACAGATTTTGACTCTTGTCTGGAAACAAAATAGTAGCAATTACAAGTAAAATATATATTTTGGCTTGTAAAATATGATCTTCTTGGATTGGGAAAGATTTAATTTTTAAGGCTTCGTATAAATTCTCTAGCTAAGTAATCCTAACAGACCCTCTATTTTTATCAGTTGCTGTAGGTTCTACCCCTAAGTTCTCCATGTAAACATCGTTTGTTACATCGGTAGGACCGTTAATATCTTTTCCATCAACTCAGAGGTCAAGTAATATATTAACATCTTCTAATGTTATTGTGCATTCACCGGTTGGTAAATAAAACGTGTGTGTTTCTGGTCTCCATCTCTCTAACAAAGCAACAACTAGGCTAGAGTCAACTTTTAAACTATTTATTTTTGCGACATTCGCAAAACTTGCTAATTCTAGATACATGATTATTCCCGCACTTGGTTGAATGTCAGTATGAGAATGGACTCAAAACCTTGCATTCGCCTGAAAAAAAAGGAAATAATAGTGAACACAACAATTAAATAAATAATTACGTAGAGTTTTTAAGAAACCTTGCACTTGCTTGAATGTTTGCTTGTGTTCCACGATGTTCTTCTCCCATCCACAACAAAGACATTTTGAATGAGGGAGTAAATGTGAATTAGTGAATGATTGGGTATTTTGTTGCAAGATTGTTTTGTGAGAGATGAAGAAATGTGTGTGAAGTGAATTTTTACTAACTTGAATTTATAGAGGTATAGTTAAAGATTAGTAAAAAAAGTTGACAAGATTTCACACTGATAGAGGTGACTATAAAGTATATGGCCTTAGGACTTGATTCATGCAAGCCTATACTCAATAGTTGGTATTTTGCAGAATGCATGCAAAATAATTTTGCAGTATGTATATGCTCGCCATTTGGAATGACGAGTTGCTTTGGGTCACGAATCTGCTTGCCACTTCAGTGGACGAGCACACACTAACCTAGGACATGTTCGTCCTTTGCATGGGAGATCACACACATGACTTTTTTTCCAGTATTTGAATGTTATACGTGTGTGTGTGTGTGTGTATATTTGTGTGTGTGCGCGCGCGCGTGCGTATGTCTGTGTGTGTGTGTGTGTGCGCGCGCGCGCGTGTGTGTTCTCCTATCATCATTCCACATTCCAATAACAAATTGATACAATTATCCCATCTAAATGGCTCAGAGAAACATAATAATAACCTGTCATTTTAATGGGTCTACTTTCACAGATTGTAATGTTGGATTTTCATTTGGTAATACAGATACATACTCTTTCAAAATTCATGTGAATTCTGATTTTTTTTTCATTTCAAAGATAGGATGGAAAAAAATTAGAACGATTTGTTGAGGAGATTATTTATCGTCATCCATTAAGTAATGGAGTTGATGATAGAGTTTTTTACGTAATGACACCGATCAAGAAAGACTAAGACGTGAAAGCAATGTTTCAGTGGCACATGATGTTTGCTCAATTACCCACAATTGAGTTGTATGTTAATCTACTTGAACATGGCGAAACATTTCCTACTCAATCGACACAATCACACCAATATGGAATGAGCCAAACTTCAGATGACGAACTAACACAAAACAACAAACCTTTCATACCCAATGAAGAGGTTGGAAAAGCAAGTGACGATAATCTTCAAGAGGTCAAGATGCAAGATCTTTTTAGTAACAGCGATGACGAGGACAGTGAATATATGATACTAGTGCCTACCCAGACAATTAGCATTGAACCAATAAACTTGTACAACCCACTTGTACATATGAAAAATATATGCTTGGAAGATGCTGAACCAAGCTTTGTGTTTGGATGTGTGATACCAAACCATATAGGTGGCGAAATATAGATTGGGATGGAGTTTAAAAACAAGGAAGCTTGCATTCTCGCTCTACAACATTGGCATATAACATATTGTGTTGACTATTGGGTTTACCAATATGTCAATGAAATATACGTAATTAAATGTAAGAAACCAGACTGCAATTTTAAATGGAAGATTGGTAAGCTGTCTGGGCCTCACACATGCACTACCACGTCTATGGCACAAGACCATAGGAAGCTCAGTTCAGAAGTGATTAGCCACAACATCAGAGAGCTTGTCAACCGCGATGCTTCGCTTAAGGTGAAGGTGATCATTACCCATATTGTTGAAAAATGCAGGTACATAATATCTTACAGGAAAGCATGGATCGCAAAGTGTAAGGCCATAGAGTCACTGTACAAAAATTGGGAAACATCTTACAACGACCCGCCACAGTGGATATTGGTAATGAAAACCTATATTCCTGGAAGAATTTTCCCAATAGCTTTCGCATTGGTCGAAGGTGAAACAAAGGAAGCCTGAAACCTTTTTTCTAAAGAACCTGAGGTTACACGTGACACCACAAGCTAACCTGTGTCTAATCTCAGATAGACATGAATCGATAAAGAGTGCATGCAACAATCCCGAAAATGGATGGTAACATCCACCATCTTCACATGTTTACTGCATTAGACACATTGCGCAAAACTTCACGCGCGAGATTAAAGACAAGGAACTATGCAAAAAAACTTATTAACATGGGTAACAAAATACATTTCAATTACCTGAACTATTTTTTCAAACTTTTACTATGTTTTTCATACCATTTCTATTATAGATTACGCATTGACGGAGGCTACATTTAACTACTATCGCGGGGAAATCTGAAGAACAGACATTGAGGCCTCATGTTGGATAAACAACATACCGAGGGATAAGTAGGCTAGAGCATATGACGGAGGGCAATGTTGGGGACATATGACAACTAACTTGGCAGAAGCCATGAACTCTGTACTAAAGACAACCAAAAACCTTCCAATCACTGCATTGGTCCAATCTACATACTATCGCATGGGTTCCCTCTTTGGTAAAAAGGCCACCAATGGACCAAAATGCTAGCTTCCGACAAAGTTTTCACGGATGGTTGCAACAAGGGAATGGCTGATGAAGTAGCCAAGGCTAACACACATAATATCATGCGATTTTATCGCGAAAGATTCTGTTTCATGGTCCAGGAAAAAATTAATCAGAATGATGGTCGTTCAACAGGTACTTTCAGCGTTGAGCTGAGAATCAGTGGTGTGACTGTGGGATTTTCAAGAATTTCACTTACCTTGCTCCCACATTATTGCTGCATGTTCTAGTATACGCTAGGACTACTCCATTCACATTCCAAAAGTCTTCACAGTTCTTAACATATTCAAAGTCTACAAGAAAAGGTTCCTAGGACTACCCCACAAGGAGAACTGGCCAAAATATGAAGGATTTACTCTTTGTCACGACGATTCAATGAGAAGAAATAAGAAGGAACATCCAACTAGTAGTAGGATTAGAAACGAAATGGACACCCGTTGAAAAGAAAAGAAGAATGTGTGGGATTTGTAAAGAAATACGCCATATGCGTAAGAAATGTCCAAATGTTGCTGGCCCGTCAAACTGACCCGTCTAGATGATTTTATTTGTTTTTCAAGTTAATTAGTTAGTAAAGTTTTTAGCTTTCATTTGATGTATTTGTGATCCAACATTAATTTATAATTCAAGACAACTTTTACTAACAACTACGAAACTAAGACTCTGCTCATAAAACAACAAGATAATGAACATTTAAATGATTCAACAAATCAACATGCCTAGGAGATTACAACCATCAACTTAATATCAGCTTGTCCATGCATCATCATAACACAATCATAATCGTTTTTTACAGCTTTTAAGAACTCACCATCTCCATCTTTAACAAGCCTTTCGATTCTTCTAATCTTTTCATCGTCAGCAATTTCACCTTCTAACCACCTCACTAGACTTCTCTGAAAATGCTCGAATGTCACTATGTTCCATAGTCGAATCTTCAACGGGGTTTTATTGGTGAAAAAAATCCATAGAGCATCTCTTTTGGCAAGAAAGTGTTTGGATTGGTAAAATACTTCATGCTTGAATCAGACATTGACGACTTAAATGAAGAAATTGGTGTACTAGAACTGAAATCTAGAGGTTACCGCAAAAAGCTATTTATAGAAAATAGAAAAATAATTAAATATTACACTGCTCGTCCAATGGATGTTCGAGCATCATCATGCCATAATTTATGTTTACTAAATAAAACTAAAATTCAAAAAGCTGCTTAATAAACTAATCAACAACAACAACCAACACAAGTGGATCTTGGACTCCTCTGTTAACTTCGTCACTATGTGTTGAAAACATACATTAGACATCTTCATCAGTTTCTATACGATCCAAGTAATACATGTACGTACCCTCTGGGCTTGCATCAGTCAATGTTATGTACGAATAACGATACTCAATTTTTCTCACCTTCATACGACGACCACCCAATTGTCGAAAACCCGTGTTGATTGCTGCAATCACAGTTTTGAAATTCCACTACAGGTCTAGGCAAACACTGATTTTTTTTCTTGCCCATAGAACACAAGAGCCCGGACAAACATTTTTAAAAATACAACTTGCTATGTCGAATGATTTGTGTTGAGATGCATCAATCTACTTATAGAAAAAAAAATTACATACAAACTCGGTCATTCATTGGCCGAGAATCTCTAAACACTCGGTCATTCATTGGCCGAGTATAATTTTTTTTCATAAATTATTTTATCAATCATTTTAACTATAAAAAAATATTTTAAAAAATTAAAAAAAATTATTAAATTAATAAAATATGCTTTTACTAATTAAAGTTATTATTAAAACTAATTAAATAATATTATAATTTAAAAAGATAAAAAATATAATAAAATAATATGGTGTTCACCACTTTATTGAACGAACACCTACATACATAAAAATTATTCTTTCGGTACTCGTCAATTCATTGGCCGAACACGTATTGTAATTAGCACATCTTAATTTATAAAAATTCTTTCAGTACTCGTGAATTCATTAGACGAACACGTTTTATAATTATATTAGGACATCTTAATTTATTTATTTTTTCAAAAAATAGAGTATTATAGGATATAATTTTCAGAACTAAGATACTCCGGAAAAAAAACTCACTATTAAAACCTACTAATGCATTTTAAAGTTACAAGAGAAAAGACATAAAAACAACATATCTCATATATCTCATAAAGGTTACTTTTAAGTAGAGAATAACAGAGCTTGTTATTCAGCCCCATTTTCCCGACATAAGGTATATTAAATTTTTGCATGCAGTAACACTAACACTTTCCCCGTAGCTTTTCCTTTTCTCCCTTTGTAGAAAAGCAACAATGCATGTTGTCATTTCTTATGCAATCTTAATTACCACCCTTACGTTTGCATGACAACAATATGTAAATGTAACTGCTTTCCAGTTAAGTCCAAATGTGGATCCCCCAACCCAACGTGTCTTAGTGCACTTGTCAATTTTAATAAGAATCGCCAATTAATTAAAGTTGGCTGCTACTCATTCAATCAATATTGCATTTTCTTATCAGACAGACGCTCTGGCTTGGGTCCATTGTGAAAATCAAACAATTGTAATAGATTGGTGATGATATCTACACGTTAACAAATACAAATTTTTAAACTTGAATTAGAAATTCATGTGAGACAAACAAGCGTGCTTTTGAATTATAAGAGTAATAGGACAGATATTAGGACAGACAATGGGGGCGGAACGGCAATAATATCAGTATAAATTTGGTTATATAAAGGCTGGCTGCGCCTCTAGCTAAGTAAGGGTCGCCTTTTTGTAAAAATAAAATAAAATTTTGCAATCTATAAAGGAAAATAACTATAAATTCACATCCGGAAAATAAGTTAATTTATTCAATATTTTCAAAGTAATAAAAAAAAAACAATACTATCTTTACACTTTTTTTTACACCTACACCATATGTACTATTTATAAATACTGTGAATAGCATCACGATGAACAGTGGTATGAACAGTGTCTATGAATAGTATATGTGAACAAAGTTGGTTAATACAATGTAAAAAGTTGGTTAATTAAGTTATGGACTTGTTTAATAGACTTTCAGATATAAAAATAATTTTTAGTAGTAAAACAAAGTTGGTTAATGCAATGTAAAAAAGTGGTTAATAAAGTTATAAAATTGGTTAATAAATATTCAGATATAAAAAAAAAACAATTAGTTTTTATATTTAAAAAAAAAATTATTTTATTATTATAATATTGGGTCATGCTAACCAGTGCCCTCAGGGCACTAGTTAAAAATTTCAAATAAGGAAAATATGTTATATTTAGTTCACTCAATACACACAATATTCTTTAAAAAGTCTGATTATTTCTCTTTTCAGGGTATTGAATACACATATATTTAGAAAAAAAATGTATTTTCAATCTCTTAAATAATGCCCAACTTACCATTTTAATCTCTTAACCAATGTCCTGAGGACACTCGTTAGCATTTCCCTATAATATTTTAAAGTGTAGTGTATATGTTGATGTAAGAAAGGCATTTCTCTTAAAAAAAAGTTATATTCTCTAATTGTTGCTTCCCAAAAACTTATTCTATGAAAAATAAAAGAGTTTATTGAAAATAAATGTTTAATAAATTATTACTTTTGTTTGTTTATATTAGAGAGCATAATTTATATATATTTGAGTCAACCTTATATGTTGTCAAAAAAATATTAGTTTTGCCTATTTTTTCTAAAAAAAAATATAAAATTATAATAAATATTTAATAAACTATTTTCAATTCAACAACTCAATTGAATAATATTTCTGGTTGTTGTTTTGATTAAGAAAAAAAAATATTCCCTTTAATAAAAGGTAGTGTATTGGTATATCCGAAAAGGCCAACAAGAGGCGAGGCAGAGCTAAGGAACTTTAGTTGAATCTATAACGTCTTTTTAGTTGTCCATTTTCCAGTTTGAGCACTCGTTTACTAGATGTGTCGTTCCTTTATTGAATACACCGTCTTCTTTTGAGAGGGGTCATTCGAGATGGAAAAGTGGGGAAATGACGTGTTCCTATTCTATAACGGTACGAAAGGAGTTAATTGACCATGCTATCTGAAATTACAGTGGATTAACTGTCCACTCCCACATCCTCTTAATAATGGTTGCTATTTCCAATGGTCATAGTATCCATGCCTAACACCGCTATAAATACCTCAACATTGAAGTTGAGAAGGAGAATCTTATTCTCATAGAGAAAACCACATATGCAGAGTTTCTCATCTCTACGTGAGATAGCTCAAAACTCTAGAAAACACCTTAAAACCTCATAGAGAAAATCATGAGAGGTTGTCACATATTGTACTTTTATCAAGTATAATTAGCACCCACTGTGGGGCCAGGTAAAACTGACTTAGGTAATACTCATCGTTACTCAATGTTGCTTTAACCATCTA